CATAAATATTCATCCTTTCAACTGAAGTGACTGGAGCAAGTGGAAATTGAAGGCGTTCCGCACTCATGCCCGATATACGGGGTATTGTAGCCGACCGAATTACATTACGACTATCGAAGTCGGATTCCGTGCGGTACCTATCCGCCAAATAACACTCGAGTAACTTTAAGATCGATATGAAAAAAGAACGAACTCTGTGAATTTGATTTTGCCATGAAAAACTTTATTTCCTTTTTACCTTCCATCTAGTTTTCCTTGTATAGCTATGTAATGTAATATACTATGATTGACTGTAATATGATTTTTCTATAATATATAGCAATCAATATCAGACAGAGAAGCTGAGAAGTGCGCGTTTGGGATGGTATGGAAATGTGATGAGACGAAATGACAATGAGTTTGGTAAGAGAGTGTTAACTATGAATGTGGAAGGCTATATATAGAAGAAAAGGTAGACCTAAGAAGAAATGGATTAATTGCGTGAAAGACGATATGTGTAAGAAGGGAGTGAACAAAGAAATGGTATATGATTGAAGAGTATGGAAGGAGAAAACATGTCGGTGACTAGGAGAAGATCAAGAGATCGATAATGATTTAGCAATCAAGATCGACCTTAATAAATTTTTAAAATGTATCATCTAAATGTTATTCCATGTCATTTTTCTACCTATTCACTGGTAGCCTAAAGGGCTTCTCTAGCTACGCGCGGACGGGTAGGTGAGCGTACGGGCTCAATCTGAGATAATTTGCTAACACTAGCCTTAGCAAAACAGTGCTTCGCAGAATCTACCACCGTGTTGGGATCGCTACCTACTGAAAAGATCCGGCGAGAAGCTCAGTGAATTAAGGAAAATCGGGAAAGACCGTAACCACTTCACGGCCAAGGTCACACGCTTGATTGCCTTCGCTACTAAAATTGCTCTTGTTTAATGTAACATTTTTAACCTAGTATCATCATCGTCTTCAGCCCATAGGCCGTTGCTGTATATAGACTACTTTTCAGATTGAATTCTTCTTTTTTTGTCTATTTTATATTCTGTTCATTTTCCGTTAAAAAATGTTCTAAAAAAATTTTTTTTGATAAGTACTAACAGTATCTTGAGATCTGACAGTTTGTTTGACTTGGGTTTTCATCTCCACGATAAGAGGATCCCATGTGTTAGATGTTTAATTGGATTTTAATTATGAAGGACTCTCGAGAATAGAAGAAAATATAATATTGGATGATAGTATCAATAAATTGACGCCTTCAAATCTTGACAAACGATTCCTGTGCAAGTCTCTGACTATTAATTTCTTTCCATTCTTCATTTGATCACGTTTTCCGAAATTTCTAGAAATCTTAAGAAACAAAAATAGAAGCGAAATATCGAAACAAATTCAGATGAACATAAAAAAGAACAATAAAATCTATAGCCGAAGAAAAGCTTACCGATTAAGGAACGTATCGTTTAAGTCATGTGAAAACTCCTGTGTAGATTCACCGATAAACACAATAATAACACACACTCGAGAACCTTTGTTTCAACTTTACACGTTTCACTTAGAACTTTCTAGACATTAGGACGAATGTCCAAAACATCTACTTTTCCAATCGAATATTTAATGTTTTTAGTAGGTCTTACCATTTTGGAATAAAAAAATTACTGCATGTTTGGATTAATGAGTTCGCGGCGTACCTGTTGTAAATCAGTTACCGGAGCGCGTAGATAAAGTTAATGCTACCTAAGGACATGAAGTCGAAGGGTCAATGTTGCAAAACAGACTTCAACTATCACCCTTCAAAGCGAATGCAAATTTTTCATCGAAACATAGTTATGAATACACGAATCCATTGTGAAGCGATATTAACAAACAGAAGACTTTATTCTTCTGATCTCATTGAAAACAAAATTTATCTAAGATGAATATACATAGTACGAACGGATAATTTTATATGATAGATGAAAAGCATTTATTAATTGTTTTAGTCAGTATAACAGAACTGATTTCCACGAGTGTCATACAAATTGACAGACATAACAGATCTTAAAGTAACGTAATCAATCAGCTGCATTCAGTACCTGTTAAAAATCTAGGTGACGTGATAATGAAGAAGTTGCAACTCAGACGACGGAAGATCATGGGAAATCCTTTACCAATTCAACTTCTAATACTGTTAATCACCGACAAAGTTATTTTCACACATTACGTTACAGTTTACGTAAAAGAATTCGTTAGCCCAGCCACCGACACGAGCCATTATGAAAACAAAACAAAAATACGTTTCTCAGGGGAAGGCAATTCCGTTTATAAATGACTCCGCTATCTAAATCTTTGAGATAAGTGCGTCTGAACTTTCCAATTTTGCTACACATCAATAACACTGACAGAGGGATAACAAATCAGTGTGCTTTCGTAGGGGATCGATGACGTATCGTATGTGCGTATGATAAAAAATATTCTGGGTATCTGATGGAACGGCGTATTCCGATTTGTACTTATGGTTGTAGCGTAAAAATGCTATAACTTGATTATCTTCTACTTTATTACGGTGTGATGCAAAAATTATCTAAATTTATTATTATTTTTTATACGTAGATGATTGAAAGACCTCACCGGTAAGTATCCGTATGAGCTTCGAATAGCACCAGTAAATCTTAATATATGTAATAAATGTGGCGACTGCAGAACTCTGGTATAGTCAGAAAACGCTTTTCTTTTTCTCTTCTCTAATGGGAAGCGATGAATTACTTATAAATATTCACTGTATTAAATGTATAGGTTAGACAATGAACCGTTAAGTTAGTGAAACAGCTTGATACTTGAACCCGATTCGCATGAGTACCAACGATATTTTTCGATACATTGCTAATGGTAACACTACTGTTGTTGCTATTGTAATAAAAAAAGTAGGTGATCGCTCACTACCGAAGTATGACTTGATAATCGTAAGGCTTAAAGTATTAAGATTTTTTTTCTTCTATGTCATCTTAAATCAGCGGTCGGGGAACCGGGGTAAATTACCCCAAATGGGGTAAAATGAAATTTTGGGGGGTAAAAATGAATCTTTTGTGAGTAAAAAGTATATATTTTTATATAGTATATAGTTTTTTTTCCTCAACTCTACATTACATATATTACTATAATATTATTACCGTTATGTATTACTAGGTATTACATTGATAAATTGAATAAATGATGTTTAAATAAAATTTTTAGTTATTGTTTTCTTTTCAAAATTATCATGGGGGCTATAATATGAAAGATGCTAAAAAGAAGCGATTTCGTTTTTTTTGTTCTTCGTCATGAGGTAATATCAACTTACCTACACAAAAATATTAGGGGGTAATAATTTAAAAAAATCCCCGACCGCTGTCTTAAATATACAATGCACACCACTATTTTTAATTATATCAATCCATCGAAGACGTAACTATATAAAAATAAATCCATTATTAGACTTGCTTTAATTGAATTATAATAATATTGTAAAGTATTACTAAGAACTACATACGACGAACACAGGCATTCGCATGAAGAACAAATCTTAGCGAATCTTCACAAAAAGCTTCACATTAAGAAAATAAGCGCTCTGGAGATGCAGTACTGATGGAAAAGAATGCTTGGGGCTTACTGGACCGACCTTCGTACGAACATCTCGATACTTCAAGAAATCGGAATCCATTGAAGATCTTCCCTTCACAAAGCTATTTAAAAAGTACGTACTAATAAAGGTATCCTGAATTTACAGTAATCTCAATCTAGGTTACCTAAATTTAAGTCCTTAATTATATCGTATAAGTGTCAACCCTCATCATTTACTCAGTTGACACCTGCTAGCCGAGCGAAATTAATTTCGCTCCGAAGGTAAATCCTTACTAATACCATGAAAGTAATATACATACAATCTGTTATAGTTATTAAAAGTTATACGCTTCACACTAGATTAAAAGGGTAGGCACAGACATCAAAGTAATATCAATAAAAGTTTTATATTGACAAAATTTTTCCAATTTTGTTACTTTTTATTTTTTTATTGCTAAGATGGGTAGATGAGCTCACAGCCCACCTGGTGTTAAGTGGTTACTGGATGCCATAGACATCTACAATGTAAATGCGCCACCCACCTTGAAATATAAGTTCTAAGGGTCTCAGTATAGTTACAACGGCTGTCCCACCCTTCAAACCGAAACGCATTACTGCTTCACGGCAGAAATAGGCAGGGTGATGGTACCTATCCGCGCGGACTCACAAGAGGTCCTACCACCAGTTACTGTCATTTAATTGACCTGTATATTCAACAAAAAAAGTAAAAACATAAGCATCCCATTCATTGAATGCGATAAATATTGTATTCTACTATGTATTACATATATTATACATACTTAAACTTACGTCTATCAATGATCTCACAATCTCATCATTATGATCTCCTGGCATTAAATTATTACATTAACATTGGAACATCACAAAATGAAGATCAACCACTTGAGACATAAAGTAAGTAGTACATGCCTTGCGGAACTGAAAATTGAGAAAATAAAAAGCTAACTAAACCAATAGGCTACTGCTACAAACTTGTGCTATGATAGACGACTTATGCCTCACAAAGGCTTAGGGAGGTAGGGCACAAATTTGCCGATCTCTAGTAGCTACGCAACCATTCACCAATGGGGTACAAATCTCAACGAGATTACCACCCCGAGTTAAATTGAAAAATATTCTCACAGCTCCACTAATTGGAAAATATGTAAAAGAATAGTAAGATATGCAAAAACCAAGAAAAAACACTGACCATCAACAATTATCATTATAACATTTTTTTGGAGATTGAATGACTGTGGAGATTAGTAGAGATGAGATCGTGTAAAAGTGAAAGAAAGTACTTTAACTACATTCAACCAAATGCTGTTTACCCGTATATAATAATAATAATAAGCCTTTATTGCTGTTTTACTTACTAATTATTAACTTAATAAATTACTTAATAATAAATTAAATTTAAATGCAACCTATAATCAAGTATTCCGTTCGGCGTTCGGTGTGATTTTCAAAACAGGATGTCTCTCGACAAAGACCTCCTCTAAAGATTGCCAATATTTTCTATTTTTGGCCATTCGACTCCAATGCGGGCCGGCTACACTCTTTATTTCATCTTCCCAACGTTTTGGCTGTCTTCCTTTTTTTCTACAGCCAGTTTACCCGTATATAACAGTCGTTAAATTCAGTTGTAAGCAATGTCATTCATTCCCTCGCCTCGTGTCCACTGAAAACAATTTCAATAATCTATTGACACAAAGCGTTAGTTAATGAACCGCAAATTGATTCAAAAAGTTCGTTTAGCTGTGAGCATCCAACGGTTGAATGCACACGGTCAACGTTCATCGCTCCTGGTCGATAGATTTAGGGCTGCTAAATATTTATTATAAAATGGAATCTTTATATCATGAAGCTACTGGTGGCCTATACGAATGAACGAAAATATCAAGCTAAACATGCTAATTTGGGACGCTTCGGATCTTTAAATGAATATTTGTATAGGTATTGAAGATGCAATCTTTACTGGTGGTAGGACCTCTTGTGAGTCCGCACGGGTAGGATCGCCATCGCCCTGCCTATTTCTGCCGTGAAGCAGTAATGCGTTTCGGTTTGAAGGGTGGGGCAGCCGTTGACACTATACTGAGTCCTTAGAACTTATATCTCAAGGTGGGTGGCGCATTTACGTTGTAGATGTCTATGGGCTCCAGTAACCACATAACATCAGGTGGGCTGTGAGCTCGTCCACCAACGTAAGCAATAAAAAATAAGAAAAAGACGCATCTACAACTACTTACAGTCAAATGATCCATAGAGTGTATTGAGTTGAAGATAAAATAACTGATATTAAGTGTCAGTTTATATTGGCATGGTCCAATTTCGGGGGTGTATCGCAAACAAAACGTAAAGCGTACCTATAAAGCGTAGAGGAAGAGTAAAGTCCCATTGATACGATGTGAGGTCTAAGTCTCGAATTCAAAGTACTTTGTTATGACTGCATCTTATCACCATTCTTTAAAAAGTTTGATAGTTTCCAGAAGCAAGCATATTCGTAATTTTCGACTTGTAGAAATTTACCGTTATTCTATTAGACTCAATCCTTTGAGCACTTCAGACAATAGACGACATTTATATTTTATTGAATTTGACGCTAGCTAACTCCTCACCCAGTGTAAAGGTATTTGCTAAACACCTGACATCCCTAGACGGTCACAACGTAGTGTTACTTCTTGTATTTGTTTACCGTTTATACAAAATCACTGAACCCGCATTGTGGTCGCGTTTCATAGACGAATTTTTTAGAGTCGCCTCTGCCGCGCATAGCTTGTCTTCATTTCTGTTCACGAACGATATTCATAAAAAGCACCGTAAAAACTTAAAAATTGATTGTGTTCCGAAACTCAATTCTTCAACACCGAAGTAGTTTTGATGGTTATTTTTCAAAACAGATGAAATAGCTGTCATAAAACTGCAATGCTTATTGAAAAACTTTTTGATAGTCAATGCAAAGAACAACTCACTTATTCACCGTGAATATAGAGTATTATACTAATTTAACTTTGACTCAATAATTATTTCAAACACATTTTATCGATATCAGTAATTCCATTTATGGAAACCTTTTTAGTTTCCATAGCAAACGATGTCTGAATCTTGACTATAATCAGTTGATTTACAATTTTAATTTACATTGGGATACTTCAAATTTATTCATAAAAGGATAATTTATTTTCAGAATCAAATCCTATCAAGAAATTAGTTTCTTATAGTGTCCAATTTAGTATAATGATCACAAAATATCCTTAACGACCAAATTGCTCACTCACAAAGTAAAAAAACACAAAAAACTTTGCTAAAATTTAAATAGCCTTCTTCATTCTTTTTAATTCTCCACTCGTTCGCCTTAACGATTATCGATTCCCAGACTAAAGCATCTCGTGAAAGACGTCACAGTACAATTATCCACGCTCCGTACTAAAAGTCAGTTAAAAGTGCAAGGTTTTTTAAAATACAAGTGCTTACAATCAATCCTTCTAATCGAGGTATTAACAACCTGAATAAAACGTGAATGTACTGTTAGATGTTATAAGGTATATACGAATACATTGGAAAACATAGTATCGTATCTTTCAGGTGTGGGAAAATTTAAACTAGAGCTATATATAAATACTTAGTCTGGCCGTAAATACTGTTACAATAAAAAATTAAAAAAATTCTATTGCAAATAACATTTATTACTTTTACAGTGTGTTAGTTTAATACATAAATATAAAACAATTTAAAGTATAAAAAGCTTATTCGAAGTGGTCTCCATTGGCTGCAATACAGTCCTTTAAACGTTGAGGCCAGTTATCAATAGAAGCACGCACTCTTTCCATGGGAAAATTTTTCATTGCCAATCGTACGGATTGTTTTAGGGACTCCAAATTATCACGGCGTTTAGAGCAAGCCGTACTCTCTAAAACTGACAATAAATCATAATCCAGCGGATTAAGATCGGGACTAGACGACGGCCAGTCTTCAGCTCTGATGAAGTCCGAAACGTTCGTTTCCAACTAAGACTGCGTAGACCGAGCTTTATGACCTGGCGCCGAGTCTTGCTGGAAGGACCATTCTATGTTTTGATACCTTCTTCACAAAAGTATGGCTCAGTCACTCCTTCATAGCTAATACCCCACCAAATCATCACTGAAGTCGGATAGTGCCCACGTTGTACTCTGTCGACTAATTGGGAAGCTTCCTTAGAGCTTTGAGCATAAATACGGTCATTTTGTTTGTTAAAATGTTGCCAATTGTAAAAATTTTCTCATCCATAAACAATATTTTTCTATGACCTCCCTTTGCGTACCGCTTCAGTAGTTGTTTCGATTTTACCACCCTATTCTCTTTTAAACTATCAGTTAAGAAATGACTAGTACGTCTCTTATAGGCTACAAGTCCTAAGTCATCTTTTAAAATACGCGACATGGTTCTAGGTGCTATCTTCATCTCCCGAGATAAAATCTTTTGCTTTCGGACAGGATTTCTTCGAATTCTTTCCCTTACTGCTTTGACCACCTTTTTTGTACGAACACTACGTGGACGGCCAGATCTTTTTCTTTCACAAACAGAGGAGGTCTCATTGCACCTATTAATAGCCCGGTACACAAACATTTTACTAAAACCAAGCGTATGGAGAGTTAAAAATTGCATTTGGCTCCATACCTACTTTGTGTAATGCAATCACAGCGATTCGGTCCTTTTTATCACCCCACTCCATTTTAATATCGCAAAATATTGTACAATGTATTGGCGCCAAAATGAGAAAACTCAATGAGCAATCATATAAAAATGACAGATTCCAAATTCAAATGTAATATTTTGTTTATTTTTAATTGTAACAGTCTTTATGGCCAGACTAAGTATATCACATTATTGTGCTGTTAACTTCTGAGAAACAAAACAGCTTCGTTTACTAGAACAATTTTTGTTTTGGGTCGCGTCAATTGTATTTTTTTTTTATCATCGGCTGATTCCGTATTGTAAACAGAGTCACATTCATCGGCTAATTCGTTTCGAAGCAACGAAACGATACAAACTGTACAATCAAGTAGAAAAACTGCTATCCGATGAACGTTTTATTCGCGCTGCTCTCATTTACAAACAATGCGATCCCGACTGCGGAGATCTCATCAACGATTATCTTACGTTTTGTTTTGGGCCCCTTTTTATTATTTCGAATGGAGCGCCAGTAAAACGGAGTTAGTTTAATGATTGAATTGACGCGTTAGGAATATAGAGAGAGAGCGTTTCGAATCTGAGTTAAGAGTTGGCTGTCGCGTCGAACAAAGACCCGTCTATATGCTTCGGATTATTATTATTATTATTATTAGTGTTAAGTGGCCTACGGAGCCCAGCCCCTCCCTTCAAACCGAAACCAATTACTAGTAGCTTCACGGCAGATATAGGCAAGGTGGTGGTACCTACCCGTACGGACTCACAAGAGGTCACAAGTAATCACAAAAGGTCCTACCACCAATAAATATAGTATTATATCTTTTTTTTATTCATCTTGTCTAATGCCAAAGTCAGTTCTGAAATGCTATTGTGAATTAAAAATAATTCTGAAACGTTTTCAATTAAAGCTTGTAAGGAGGGAGATTGTAAATGGGATATTTTTTTAAACTACCTATTTAATTTCTTAGATTTATTTTATAAATACTTAATTACGGTCATACCTGGAAAATGTGAGTCGTATATTTACAAAATTCTCTTTATATTTTTATTTTAAAAAAAGAAACGTTTTACTTAATTATATTTCCTTGACTTTCATTATTTATTGAGCTATTTAGGCGTTTTGAGTTATGCGTTTTCTAATATTGCCGCTATATTATTATATTCTCCGAACAATTTCTAATTTTTTTTTTTTTTTTTTATAACAACTAAGAGGCAAACGAGCAAGACGGGTCACCTGATGGTAAGTGATTCACCGCCGCCCACGGTCACCAGCGTTTGCGCCAGTGCATTGCCTACCCTTCAGATAAGAATATGCTCTTTTTTTTAAATAACCCAATGTCGCAGTTGTTGGGGAAGACCGCTGATGGCAACGAATTCCAGAGATTTACTGTGCGTGGCAGAAAACTGTTTTTAAAACGCATTGTAGTGGAAAGCCAACCATCCAGATGGTGCGGATGATAGTTCCGGCGAGACGATCGGTTGCGAAAATCAGCGGCTTCTATTAAATTGAACAACTCCTCGGAACACTCCCCATTGTAGATTCTGTAAAGTATGCATAGGGAAGATAGATCCCTACGCAGTGCCAAAGGATCTAGCCGATCGGCAAGTTCAGGATCGTCGACAATCCGAGATGCCCTACGTTGGATTCGGTCAAATGGAGATAGCTGATAACCCAGAGCCCCGGCCCAAAGGTGGCAACAATACTCCATGTGAGGCCTCACCTGCGCCTTATACAGCTTAAGGCGGTGAGCCGGCTTGAAGTACTGTTTGGCCCTGTTGAGTACTCCGAGTTTTTTGGAGGCCATTTTAGCCTTGCTCTCCAAATGACCGCCAAACTGGACAACACTCGAAATGTCTACGCCCAGAATGCCCATGTTCGGCTTGGCACAAAGGTGAGTGTTTCCGAAGAGTGGCGATGCGACAAAGGGGGCTTTTTTAGCGGTAAACGCGCAAACTTGAGTCTTAGAAGGGTTAAACTGGACTAGATTTAGTCCCCCCCAATCGGAAATCTTCACAAGGGATGATTCGATTTCAGACACAAGTTTGTTCCGACACTCATCGACGTGATCCCGAGAGATATTGCTGCGGCCGAAATACAGTGCATCCACGGTACTGTCATCC